AGGTGAGTGACGACACGGACCGAATAAACGTCGATCCCGCTATTCTATAAGGCAACATCCTTATATCGCGTACGTTTCGAAGCAAATTTCACCAAACGTACACTTTTTCGTATATTTAGGAAAAGTGCCGGACGACAAGAAACCTCTCGTCAACACAGCCGTGCCGGGTGCTATGGCTGAGCTCAAACCGCAAGGCGGCAAATACGTGCCGCCTGGCATGCGCGATGGTGGCAACAAACGTGGCGATTCCATGCAGATGCAGAGACGGGACGACACGACTGCCATTCGTATCTCGAATCTTTCGCAGAGCACCACCGACGCTGATCTGGACGAGCTCGTCAAGCCGTTCGGTTCCGTGGTGAAACAATTCCTGGCTAAAGAGAAGCTCTCCAATCTCTGCAAAGGTTTCGCCTACGTCCACTTCAAGCACAGGGCCGACGCGGCGAGAGCGATCGCCACATTGGACGGATACGGATATGACCATTTGATTTTAAATGTAGAATGGTCGAAACCGCAAATACAAAATAATTGAAACTCAATCTTAGGGAATTATAATTTATTTATCATATTGTTATTCGTTATTATTAAATTTTTTCGCAGTTCAGGAATTCAATTTCTCTTCTTTTCCTTTTTTCCCACTTCTGTTTTACGTTCAAAATATTACTGACGAACACGGCTTACTTGACAGAAACTTTTGTGCTGTAATAATTCTAATTGTTGTCAACCGAGCAACTTCCTCCAATCTTCGACATTAAATATGGCGAGCGCGAAATTCATTTTGTCAAAACAACTTCGACTTTTTTATTTTGTATTATATTCCTAAGATTATCTGTATCTCGTGAGTAATATGGGCTTATTCTCCCTAAAAAAAATGAAGTACATGCGGAGAAAGACAATAGCTGAATTAGTTTAATTCTGGGAAGAATTTATAAAAAAATTAGAGGGTGTGTTCACTTGGTTTTTCAATACGGTCCGAATCTTTTTTTTTTCTCTTAATGCAGTTTGTAACGTTGCCGATGTTCAATAGAATGTTTTTGAATAATTCTCAGAACTTACGTTGAACATCAGCTATGTTCCGGATTGCATCGGAAAAAGTGTTCCAACCGGATTGAAATCGAGTGCTTTCGTGAAGGTATCGCATGCTTTTGCGATATCAAAATCAGAAAATATAATAATAGTCTGAATTCGCATATTCATTTAGTACTAAATATGAATTAAGTTTTCGATTACCCCAGTTAATATAAATGTTATGTTTAAATACCGACTCGGAATTAGATCATCTTATTTAGAGCCTTAGCAGAATGGCTGACTTGTAATTATTAGTTTGAAACAACGTTTTATGTCTTAAGTATATCAGTCCACGATCGATATTTTAGGCCTTAAGCATTAAGAAATTGACCAATCACAGTCGAATTATGGAAGAAAAATTAATTATGATTGATCAGTTTTTTAAATCTTATATCTTAAATTCTCATTGTAGAACCTGCTTAATGCATAAGTTTCAATCTACAATAGATACTTGAAGCCTTAAGAAATTGGCCAATCACAGTCGAATATGAGGAAAATAATCGACTTGATTGGTCAATTTCGTTATACATGCTTAGAGCTTAAATTTTCATTATAGATCCCGCTTAAGTGTCATGTTTGGAGTCTTAAATTGAAAAGCTGTTTATGACTGATGACAAATCGCTGTATAATTAAAAAAATATATAAAAAATTATAATTTAGACGAAAATTTAGAACACCTTAACCCTTTCGCGGCGGAGTGCTCTGGAAAGAGTTGCACTCTAAGCAGCCGATGCCAGATCGACCGCGCGGACCAAATACGCGAGTCGTTCCGAACGCAGTGTATATATAATATTTGACTATGTAAAAAAAACCTTTGCACAAGAAGCGTATGCTGCTAGCACGTCAAAAACAACTTAATGGACATTAATGGCAGTTGTTGATAACAAACGAACAGCGCCTTCGTACGAAGAGAGCGGCTCCGGATGGGCGCCATCTGGCGCTGTTCGTTCACCGCGGGTAAATTTGCCTGAGCGCCGAACGGCGCTGTTCGCTGAGAATGAGCATCTATAGCTGAGCGCCTAAAGGCGCTGTTTGCCGCGAAAGGGTTAAAATTACAAATCAGCTATTATGCTAAGGTCTTAAGCCGACCGCATGAAACGATGATATATGCTACAAGATAAGTTATATGATACAAGCAACGTTATACATACTTGTATCAACGTTAAACCTAACCCCGATTCCAAGTGAAATGTATTTTTATTTTCACCTATACACTAAATTTGCAAAAGTGTTATCTGTTGTATAGACAATTTGTATGTATTATTAAACAAAAAAATACTTAAAGTAATAAATAAGTATGAATGATACAAAGACTAAATTAGCCCATGTATTACAGCTTCTAAATGAAGTTTTAATGGATTTAAATAATGTCCTGAAATTTTGTAGCGACATAAAATCCAAAAAATGGGAAAGTAGGCAGTGGTTTGTTCGTCCTATTAACAGCACACGAATAGAGAAAGGATTATTTTCAACCGCCTTTCAAGAAATGAAAGAAGATCCAGATTTATTTTTTCAATATAGTAGAATGGATCTAGAAACGTTCACTTACTTGAAACACTTGTTAGAAAAATCTCTAAGAAAAAGAAAAAGAGTTGATGTTATTTCTGTAGAAGAGCGACTTATATTAACAATCAGGTAAGACTGTATAAGTTAAATTTTTTATACAAACAAATAAAATTTTTCTCTATCAAAAACTTAGGTATAATTATAAAACTGTGTGTAGGTACTTAGCCTCTGGAGATGAAATCATTTCTCTTGCCATTCAACACAGGATAGGAGAATCAACTGCTCGTCAAATAGTATATAATACTTGTTCTGCTATATACAATACTCTTTTCCCAATATATTTACGCCTACCCGTTCAACAAGTTTCAGGACACGATGCCAGCGCTCAAGGATACCGTTTGGAGCTGGGTGGTAGGGTGTCGTCCTGATGCGCTTACCTCCCAGTAGTTGAATGAGAGCGTTGAAGAGAGCAGACTCAAATTGCGAGCCTCTGTCTGTTGTGATGAACTTGGGACAGCCAAAGCGTGCAATTCAGCTGGAGTAGAAATGAGTGGCCACATTCGCGGCCGTGATGTTTTTGAGAGGAATGGCCTCCGGCCAGCGAGTGAAGCGATCCACCAATGTCAGCAGGTAGGTGTAGCCCTGGCAAGGCGGCAGCGGGCCCACCAAATCTATATGGACATGATCAAAGCGCTGATTCGGATTCAGAAACGACTTGGGCTGCAGGTGCACGTGCCGACCAATTTTAGAGCGTTGACAATGCTCGCAGGCGCTGGCCCATCTGGTTATGTCTTTTGACATAGAAGGCCACACGTAGCGTTGTGAGATGATCTTGGTGGTGGCGCAACCTGAAGGATGAGAAAGAGAATGAGTGAGGTCGAAAACTTGTCTACGGAATGCTTCCGGCACGAAAGGCCTGATGTCGTTTTGCGAAACGTCGCAGTAGATTTCTAAGTTCTCCGGTCCCAGTGTGAGTTTACGGAGTTTAAGAGAAGTGGTAGCGCTTATGAGAACGTGCTGCAGTTCCTGATCTCCCGTTTGTGCTTGCGAGAGCTCAGCAAAATTGAGCATTGTGGACAGTCGAAGAGCATCGACTTGAGGAGGAGAGCCATTCTCTAGCGAAGCAGACGCGTGTGCAGGACCACTGGAGCTTGGATTGACAGCGTCGGAGTTCGGCGCAGGCTCATCGATCCGTGAGAGGGAGTCCGCCACGATGTTGGATGCACGTGCTCAATGTCTGTAGAAAACTGAGCGATGAAATTGAGTTGGCGAAGCTGCCGTGGTGAGGCGTTGTCCAGCTTCTGCTTGAAAGCAGAGAGGAGAGGTTTCTGATCGGTGCGAAGTGTGAGAGGGTAGCCCTCGATCATGCCTCTAAAATGTTTGATGGAGAGAAATAGAGCAGTCAGCTCTCGGTCATACGCCGAGTAACCTTGCTGCGTGGGCGAGGACTTCGAAAAGAATCCAAGAGGCTGCCACTGGTCCTGAACCAGCTGCTCGAGAACCGCTCCAGCCCTAGTGTTGGAGGCATCGGAGGAGATTCTGAGCTGTGCGCCAGAGCAAGGATGAGCCAAGAGAGCCGCATTAGCAAGAGCCTCTTTGCATTGATGAAAGGCCGAGAGCGCTGCATCGCTCCAAGGAACAGGATGCATATCTTCCTTCCTGACGCCCAGAAGCAGATGATGCAGTGGAGCGAGAAGCATGGCGGCGTCCTTGATACAACGACGGTAGACACTGACCATGCTAATGAAGCGTCGCAAGCTGAAGAAAGACTGAGGTTGCTCGTAGTTGAGTACAGCCTGTACTCTATCTTGAAGAGGCCGGGAGCCCTGCGCCGAGATCTCGTAGCCCAAAAAGGTTATGGTGCTGACAGCAAAGATGCACTTCTCCAGGTTGATGAGGAGGCCATGGTCCTTAAGACGCTGAAAAACCAGCTGCAGATCCTGGAGGTATTGAGAGGCTATGAGGCTATGTTGTCCGAGGCTATGAGGATGTCGTCGATGTAGG